TTCTCTGTATCGTTCCAATTTTAGTATATGTGCTGCCGAAATGAGCACAAATTTAGCCAGTTTTTTAAGAAATTGATTACATGATCATTCTCATAGCAAACATTTAGATATATTCACAGATCCTTCTTAATATGAAAGAACTTAATTTTTTCCAAAATAAATAGCAACGAAAAAGAAATAGTCTCCTGCGATAACAAACCTATGTCTTTTCTGTGAGTTCTTACCTTAGGATAAAGAATTGGGTCGTACCCTGGATCAATTAATTTGTTGAAATAATCTGAGACCAGCTTAGTCTTTATACTTGGCCATAGGGGAAAGGGGAGACCTTCAGTTCCATATTGTGTCAGCTCATCTTTAGCCTTCATTTGGAAATTGCTTTCAGTCCTTGAATTGGGCCTACAGAAGTAAGCGCAGGTGAGATAAATAATTGACCAGCTGCCACATATTTATTTGGTCAAACTAAGGGAATTTTAGTAAGTGCAATGATAGAGAGGGTGTTAAATTCTTCCTTTTATTGGCTACAGTATTATATTTGCTCCATTTTGTGCTGGATGTTGACAGTGTTTGCTGAAAACTAGGATGTACCCAAATTTCCCTGGGCATTCTTTTTATCTATTTAAGTCTCAGGTCCATCTGAGCATCAAATCTGTCAATTAGGTCAAAAGATATAATGGTTTCCATATTAGGGGTCTAAGGGGGATTAGGTAGAAATTGTGAAAAAGCAGTTTCATTGCTGACTTATAAGTAGATCACCTTCTGAGTCCCCAGATATAAACGTTAATTGTGTCAACCCTATTCTCTTTTAGGTTCTATTTTAGGTTATAGTTCTTCAGTTTTAGCCAGATTATATGGAAAAATGGTTGAACAAAATCTTAAGAAAGGAAATTTAAAATAATTTATGCCTCAAAAGACTAGGAAAATCTTACAACCACTCAGTTGAAAATGCATTATAAATGCCTATAATTAATTCCAGGTTTTTTCAGTGCATCTTAAAATGAAAATTTTATAAACATTTTAATAAATCATGAATATTTTGTGTGTTCAGCTACTCAAATCTTTTTGGAAATAAGTTATAAATAATAAATGAATTAGTTTTTTGTAACAGCAGTAAAGCTAAAGTTAGGTTTTGGATCCAAATGCAATTCTCAATATATAGAAAAATTAAGTGGCCAGTTTATGGCTACTTGCTGCCATACATGCAGGCATGAGGAATAAATGTTTCACCAAATATTTTAAAGGCATTCTTAGGCCAAGGCAGCCAACTGTGTTACAATTTACTGTGCTAGGCACTGAAGATAAAAGCAGTGAATAAGACATTTATTATAAGTACAGAATCTCCCATAAAATTTAGGAAACAAAATAACAAGAAGTCCTTTTGGTTTTATCTTTCTAGGTATAATAATAACTTTAAGATTAAAAACAAAATTAAATTAACTGATATGTGGATAGCAAGCTGTGTGGATGAAGTGGGAGAAGGCAACACCAATACTATGAAATCCTTTGTCTTGGGCTGGCCCACTCTCAACTTTGTGGCCACTTTCAGGTAAGAATCACAGCTTGTCCTGTGTTTACCTAGATTAGCTACTATTGTAATTTCTGGGATGAGAGAAAAAAATTAAGCAAATTTTGTTCCCCAAATTGTTAGAAGGAAAATATTTTATTCTGATTGTTTATGACATCAGTAACTCATCTTTTGACACATACACCAAACCAAGATACTTTTGTGACTTATGTTTCCCCCAAAGAGCTTCTGATTAAAATATATGAAAAATAATGGTACTCTTGGAGTCATTTTCCTTGGTTTGACCAATGATTTTTAAAAGGGGCTCTACTGAAACAACTGGGGGGATAGGAACTTCCAGGAATATGGAAGGGGAATAGACTGGTCAGATCTTTAGCACTCCCTTTCCAACATCTCTTTTCTAATATCTAGGTATTTGTTTTACATATTGAGCTTTCGAGTCTTATCAGTCTTTTTGAACCACTGAAATGACCTTCACTGAAGCAAATTTTGTAAAATAGTCCAATTAAGTTCGAATAACTAGTTTATACTCCAAAATTTTCTAACAAAGTAGGTTTTCATTATACCAATAAAATTAATGTCATGAAATACTGGGTTACCTGAATTGTGTATCAGGTTTTGATTTAGTATCTATAGAGATGTACAATCAACAGAAAACTTAAGATTTTAAGAAGTAAAAATTGGTTTCCCAAGACTTACTCCTAGGTGGGGATGGGGTTGGAGAATGTATAAATAAAGAATTTTTGTCCTCTTATCCTGAACATGCTTAATTGGCACTTTTCAGTTCAGGGAGAGCATACCAAAACTCATACCTGTGCTTTTGAACAACTGTGTTCCAACTCCGGTATTTGTTTTACCCTTAAAGAGTTAGTGTCCATTACATGAACATGATGCTTTTTATTCTGTTCTCTTCCCACCACCACCAAACTCCTCAGGCATCATCCTAAGGCCAGATAACTAAAATTTTCCAAGCTGTTCAATCTTCTCTATTAAAAGACAGGTGTGTCATTAAACTCTACTATACACTATTAGCCTATCACAAGATTTTAAGAACTTATTTGGAAGTAACATGTGTTTGTAGCTTTCTCTGCATATCTTCTTTTCCATGACAGATTTCTGGAGATACTGTCATTTCCTATTGCTTAATCTCCCTGGAGTTACAGGTAAAGGGAAGCAATTTCAAGTGAGGAGCGTGACTATATTATGTTTTTAATCAAAGAATTTCCATGAAACTTCTTTATAAGAAGAGGAGGAAATGTGGAAACAAGTTTTATATATTGTATTGCTCAAACTATGGTTCTTTAACCAAGTAATCAAGGTTAATATCACCAGTGATGTGTGTGGATATCATGAATTCCTTGATATAATGTGATGATAAGAGCAATTCACCTCTATGGTCTTTTTCCAGAAAAACCCATAACTCCAGTCTAATCATGAGAAAAACACCCAACTAACACAAATTGAGAGACATTCTACAGGATAACTGACCAGTACTCCTCAAAACTGTCAAAGTCAAGAAACAAAAACAGGGAAAGACTGAGAAACTGTCATAGATCAATTACTAAGGAGACATGATAATTAAATATAATGCAGTATTCTGGATTGGTTTCTAGAAAAGAAAAAGGACATTAATGGGAAAACCAGTGAAATCTGAATAAAGTCAAGAGTTTAGTTAATAGTAATATACCAGTATTGCTTTCTTAGTTTTAACAAGTGGAGCATTATAATGTAAGAGGGTAATATTGGAGGAAACTTAAACTGGGTGACAAGTATACAGGGACTCTCTGTATTATCTTTGTAACTTTTATGGAAATCTACAATTATTTAAAACTTAATTTTATTTTTTAAAAAAGTAAAGTGTTGAGTTCTGCCTCTGGTATGTCAGAGTAGGGTCTTAACAGACTGACCACCCTACAAATAACAACTGTAAACTCCAAAAATTACCTGAGGGTTCTAGAGAATGAACAAAAGTTGGCAGATTTTGGAGAAGAATTAAAACTTGGAAGAAGTCACTAGCAGTGGGTGAGTTTCCTGATTTTAAGGCTTCCACCTGAGGACCTGAGGGCACGAGGCAGTCACATCATGATGCAGGGCAACTAAAACTGACAAAAATCTTCCTGGGCTGAAGAACCAGGGTATAGAGTCTGGGTCAACCACAGATATTGCAGCATGAAGGGGGAAATCTCATAAATGAACGTGTCAGAGAAGGGAAACTACAAATTCTGTATATAGACACTGCCCAAGTCTCTGATCACTGAACCCCCACATGCCGAGGATAGACTTGCAGGTTGAAGCTAAGACTACAAGAATTGTACTGACCTGTTGTCTACCACAGGTGAAATAGAGTTTGTAGCTTGAGCTAATCAAGTTAGTTGCTTACTAAAACAAAAACATCAACACTGTTTTGCAAATATAGCAGAATACAGAGTCTCTAAAACAAAACATTTGTAATGTCCAGAATGTAATCTAAAATTCTTGACACACGAAGAACAAGGAAAGAGAAAAGATAATCAATAGCAGCCTATCCTGAGATGACCTATATGTTAAATTATTAGAAAAGAACTTTAAAGCAGTTTTCATAAATATGCATGGTAGATAAAATGAAAATCCAATTGAACTTAATGAAAAGATAGGAAATAGCAGCAGAGAAATAGAAAATATTTTATTATGGCCAAATAGAAATTCTAGAACTGAAAACTACAAAATTTAAATAAAAAATATTGGCCTTCCCTGTAGAATGGAAGTTGAAAGAGTAGTCAGTGAATTTGAAGATACAACAATACAAATTGTCTAATCTAAGAACAGAGAAAACACAAATTTTTTTAAATTAAAAATGCATCAGGGACTGGTGGGAAAATGTCAAAAAGTATAATATACACGTAATTGGAATTCCAGGAAAAGGAGGGAGGGAATGGGGCAGAAGAAATATTTGAAAAAATAATATATAAAAACCTCTCAAATTTGGTAAAAGGTATAAATGTACAGATTGAAATAAGCTCAGTGGACCTCAGACAGGATGAGATGAAGAAAACAATACCTGGTCATGTTATAGACAACTACTGTAAATCAAAGAGAAGAGAAAAATCTTGAAAGCAGACAGAGAAAAGCAATGCATTACAAGTAGGAGAATGACAATTTGAATTATTTTGGACTCTTCATTAGAAATTGTGAAGGTCAGGAGACAGTGGAACAACATCTTTAAAGTGTTGTTAAGTAACAACTTTCAACCTAGAATACGATAACCAGCAAAAGTATTCTTAAAAAATGAAGGTGAAATAGAATTTAAAAAGAAAAAAAACTATAAGAATTTATTGCCTACAGACCTGTTCTGCAAAAATAAAATGCTAACAGAAGTTTTTCAGGCCAAAGTGAAATGGTATCAGAGGGAAGCTCAGATCTTTAGGAAGGGATGAAGACCATCAGAAATGGTGTGTAGTCTCAGTAAATGTTAGGGAAATCTAGTTTAAAATGCCATCAGGCTAGCAGCTCAAGAAGCGATCTCTCCTACCCAGTTACTATAATAAATATTAAAAAACAAAAAAGTAAGAACTAACAGCTTTGAAATCTGACAACAGCCAGAATTAAAGAACTCCCAATTGAGTCAAATTGGGGAAAGAGCAAACGATCAATGTGAACTTTACATGCTTTACTTTGGGAAAGAGGATAGTCATATCTTTAAAAAAAAATCCAAAAGGAATTTAACATCTCTGTCACTATATGTACTCTGATTCACAAACCTAGGATTTACATCTACCAGAAAAATAAGTGCTACACCTTGATTTTACAGATAACTGTATGATATAAAGGGAACATTGTTCGAAATACACAAGAAGCACTTAAATCTGACAATGATCCATCTACAAGGATAATCAGAAGAATAATATTTTAACTTATGTACCTATTGTGAATCTTAAACTGTAAACTCAGGTATACCTGTTTATTTAGAGATCAAATTAAAACTCCCCGTAAACCTCCATTTTCCCAGGCTGGTAGGAAATCAGATTTTCTTCTTTACTGGAACCTCTGTTTTCTTCAGGTAGAATCAATACAGGAGACTTCTGAGATGCCTCCAAAACACACGAAAGTCTTCTGACCTTCAGTGTACTGTGGTTGCTACTGACATCATCTTTTTCTATGTCCAGAGTTGTCTCTATACATCCAGAGATGTTTTGCTTCCTTGCTACATGCAGGGTGCAGGTATCTTTGCTGATTTAAAAATGGTGCCTGGGACCCAGGCTCTCTAGTTTCTCCATAAAACCATTTCCTCTGGGTTGTTTCCTTAGAACACCTTAACTGAATGACATGGTTCCCAGCTCACTCTCAAGGATGACAGAGCTCTATGTCCTCCATAATATGAGAGAATCTTCTAATCTGCCATGCCCTTTTTCTTTCTTTAAGATACACTGTCTTCTCCTCTCCTATTAGTTTTGTCTTTTTTGATGGGCTTAGGTGTTTATGAAACTCTGAGATAACCATTGACTTTGGAGCACTTCTAGTTTGAGTAAAAATGCCTAAGATTAAGAACTACTAAAGAAATAGAGTCCTGGATTCTAGTGTAGAGTAGGGGGAAGGGTAAATATACGAGAAGATTACACAAATCAATCTCTGTATATTCACCTGACACACTTCATAATTTGTTTATTTTTTGAAGTAATGGATACTATATATTCCAACAACGGAATACCGTATAGCAATGAGAATGAATGATCTAAAACTGCATGCAATAATATGGATAAATTTCACAAACATAATGTTGAATGAAAGAAGCCAGAATCAAAATAGTATTGATTACACTTACATAAAGTACCCCAACAAGCAAAACTATTCTATGCTATTGGAAGTTAGGATAGTGGGAACTGCTGGCCGAAAAGGAACATCAGGGGACCTTGTAAGGTGATTATCTGTTTCATAATCTGGGTGGTGGTTATATAGGTGTATTCAATTTGTAAAAATTCTTCAAGCTGTACACTTAAGCTTTGTGCAGTTTTCTCTATATATCTTATTTGTCAATTAAAAGTTTAAAAATTACTAAGTGTCTTTTTTTTCAGCATATTATGGGGATACAGATGTTTAGGTTATGTATGTTGCCCTTCCCCCACCCCCCAGTCAGAGCTTCAAATGTGTCCATCCCCCGGATGGTGTGCATCGCACTCGTTATGTATTCATATACCCATCCCCTCCCTCCCTCTCCCACCTGCCCGACACCCAATAAATATTATTCTTATATGTGCACTTATGTGTTGATCAGTGAAACCAGTTTGCTGGTGGGAAATACTAAGTGTCTTAAAGGGGTAGTTTTTCTTTAACTGCTTTGAAAAAAGTTAATGGATCTGAAGAAAATGTCTCATCTATTTTCAACATGGATTTTTGCTGAGTAAATCCAAGATTTGACATAAACCTAGAAAACTTGAACCTAGAAAATCTTTTTTAGAAAAGATAGTAAAAAATCACTAAAGATGGAAGTTGCATAGTTAGTGGTAAAAAAGATGTAATATGCTTTCTGATGGCCAATCCTGAGAGATTGCTTATGGAGAAAATTGCTAAGCAACAAAGTTAGAAACAAATTAAAAATATTTATAAAGTGTATCCTTTTGGAATAAGAAAATAACTAGGGTTTCCAATTTCTCTAAATAGATTAGAAATATGGTTTTAAAAGCTTGCGAGTAACAAGACCATATAGGAATAAAGTTAATTTTATTTCTAACTTTAAGAATTAAATGCAGCTGTGATGACAGAAAAATTATATTAATCAATAGTAATTTAGTTATAAATGGATTGACCTCAATCAGGTTACAGTAATTAAGAACAAGTTTTCTATGAACTAATTTACTAAATTATAATTCTGTATGTATTTTTAAAAAAATGTTTATTTTCCTGAGAACAGCCTGGTTTCTAGGCCTAGATATTTTTATCCATATGCCAGATTTCACCTTACTCTCTTTAATCTCCACATTAAGCATATTTTCTATTTGTGTGGCCCTTTAAGCTACAAAAACACTCTGAGTGGGATAATTAACCCAGTTTTACAGATGTGGGAAAACCAGGTGTTGAATTCCAAATCAAGTACTCTTTCCACTATAAGAGCTACCTCTTACTGGTATAATACCACTTGTAAAAAAGCAGTAAAGTAGAAAAGAGGGTCTATCTTAGACCCAGCCAAGAAAATTTAATAAAACTGTACTTCACTGTGTGATTTTTCCAAAAGGGCATTTTCATCACAGGATTCTCCAGAACACAATTATGCTGAGGTTGCATCTTATGTGTCAACTACTTTAGTAACAACAGGCTATTTATATTTATTTTCTTCTGCATTGACAGTCTTAAATATGTTAACATAAATACTTTATGTGATTTTTCTCTTCCATTTTCTTTGACTGCAGTTCTCCAGAACAAAAGGACAAATGGCTCTCTCTCCTTCAAAGGTATTTTTTTCAGTATATATTTTTAATCTTTAACCTTCAATAAACGAGTTAAAACCTTTTCTGCAGAGATGTGCCCCAAAGTATTCCCCTTCTCCTTAGTAGAAATTATTCATTTGTCCTGAAAATAAGCTGCTGTTTATATTACTCACTAGCTACTACTTGCTTTACTTTATAGGAAGGAGAACACTGGGGTCTACTTAGATCATTTTAGACAGAAATTAGTCAATAATACCTTCCATCTCTTTCCATTGTCTCCAGGCTACCAATTGGAGCTAACAGTTTCCTTAAAGTATGTATTAAGTTTCCATAAATGCAGGGTTTTCTCCTGAGCACCTCAAAAATCAATTATTAACCCCATTATTGAGCATATAGACTAAAATGATAAACTTAGGCTCATTTATTAGACCCATGGTCCTTCCCTCCTTCTGCCCCTCTCCACCTCCCCAAGCAATGGGATAACCAAGATTTACACTCTATTGGAGAGCTAGATGAAAAGTAAAACATCACTGCTTTGGTTTGGCCTTGTAAAGTATTGTATATGCTCCTGTTCTTATCAGTGAGGTGCTGGACCTGTCCAGAGATGGCAGGGAAGTTTTAAGGATAAAACATTACCCAGGGGCGCCTTAATCTGATTGTGCTTCTCAAACCTCACTGAACATGGAGGCCTCATTCTTTTTTGTGCCCACGCCTAATGTCCTGAAAAAATTTATTTATTCTCTTCCAACCCATAATGTAATCTGACTTTGCTGAGTCTTTTCATCTGTCTTTAAAAATAGCATATAAGTATACTGAAAATATTAGTAAAATAGATTGATTTTTAAAATAAGCCATCAGCAAATTCCATCTGACTCAGTGTTGTTTTGGGTTGTTGTTGCATTTGATTAGATACATCAATCTAGAGAAAGAGAAGGACTACCCGAAGAGCATTCCCCTCAAAATCTTCGCCAAGGACATTGGGAATTGTGTCTATGTAAGTGTTTGTAAGCCAGAAAATTAAATTCCAAGTCCCTGCATAAAGCAGAATAGCATGGATAAAAAGAGAGACAGGCAGACAGATATACTGTGTATGTGCTATGGAAGGTAGGCATTTAGAGATAACATAGGGGGAAAATTCGTTTTCCAAGATATCTCTGTGTCTTTGTATATATGAAAAGTAAGCCCTAGAGAAAATGAAGCAAGAGAAATTCATATTAACTACAGTATTTAACATTTGTGCTTGTAAAGAACACTGCTTGTCAGATGTCTCTTTCCTCCTTCTGCCATGAATGTTTTCTCTGAATCTTTGCAATAGCAGGTACAGAGACTTGTAGTAAATCTGCTTCCACAAAGAGGTATTTCCTATTATTATTAAGCAATTTTTTCCAACTTGTCACTTCTTAAGTAGAGAGTGGTTTTGAAAAGTTTATTCTTTAAGTTTTTATGGATTGAATCCCTCAGGTTAATAAGTGGATGATCTGGGAAAGGTGACATTTTTAAGGGATCAGCACTTTTCTGCCTCACAGTGTTTATCACTTCGGTCAAATAAATGTTAAGTCTTTAACCCCAGTTATTATGCATAATTTGATGACTGATACAAGAGCTAAGATATTAACAATAATGAATAAGATGGAAACTTAAGACTATTTTTATGATACTATGGACTGTCATACTTCACAGCAGCTCTAGATCACACAAAATAGTTTTATTTATTTGTGGAAAAATATGTAGTGCAAAATAGTTACGTTTTGGCCAAAAGCAAAAGTAATGCAAATGTTCCGACCTACTCCTGAATGCCAGATATCACTGCTGGAGGAAAATACTCAAATTTTTATGGTATGAAACTACAGAGATGTCCTTCCTATAGCAAAGTAGGAAAAAAAAAAAACACTGTTGTTTCTGCCTGCTTTGATTCAGTTGTGGCAGTTGATTACATTCAGGATTTTCATGGAAAACCCCTTGAGTTTTTTAACATTTTCTTTTCAGTGTATGGAAAAGTGTGCGTTTGAGAAAGGACTGATGCCCCACTCTCATTTTGGAAAAGACAAAAGATGTGGTCAGGTCGGGTGCTCTTTTTATTGCTAGTACCCTGGATGAGTCAAGGATGATGTGACATACTCTGTCCTTTGCTCTCTGAAGTATATTTCATGGCAAGAGTCTCTTTTAGGGAGCCCTACTTCCAGAGTTATTCCCCAAATAGGAATGCATGTATGGGAAGTATTATGTTAGTCCTTTAGTTACACACAACCTGTCAGTAAATTCTGTTAATATAGAACAAAATAGCCACATTTTCAGTTTTGTCTGTTTTGTTATTTATTAGCCAAAGAGCTTTATCTGCTGAAATTCATTTGCTTTGTCTACCAGAAAAGCATGCAGGAAAAAGATACTTTCTATAATTACTATTTTGAACGTATGGGCCTAGTACTAAGAAAAACCATTATCTTAGAAACCAGATCATTGCAAGGATAGATTCTTCACTTTACAAAAGACTTCATGAGAGAGTTTCTTTAAATTAAATGGAAACATTCTTAGACTTAAAAAATAGAAACCTTTATTGAAATTATGTTTTAAGTTAAAGCCCAGTATGTAACATACCTATGACACTCCGGTAGAAGACAGACATTGGGTTGGGTGCTCTAAAACCTGCCTGTTGGGCTCTGAGACAATTTTGCATAATCCTTGGGGATATAAGGAGTACAATTTAAAATCAATGCATTTAAAATATTTTTTAAAAAATTAAAATTCATTTAACAAAGCACTTTTAGAGGGAATTTGTCATGTCAAGTAATTGGCTCATAGGGAAGAAATACTACTGAAGAATAAGTGATGGATTATTAGTGCATTTCACTTACCTTTATTTTTATGTTTTTTAAATATCATTATATTTCCTTTTATGCTTCTTATTTGTGCCTTTTAAGCCTTCTCTGTCTGGGACATAGCCTTAATAACTGATTTCTTATAATTATCATATATAAAACTTATACATATAGCAAAAATACTTATTTGATAACATAGCATTGTTTTATATTTAAATAATATCTTTTGGAATTCAGTGAGCTCTACGGATATCTCAGAATCTTGCTAACTCCTTTTTGGTTTTTTGAAAATTGTCATTTTAAGGAGCAATTCTTACTGTAGTTTAACACGGAGCTATTATAGATACTCTGTTCAATGGCAGAGTTGGTAATAAAATTAAGCTTTCTAAAATTTTCAATTCTTCTAGACTCATTGGTTTTAAATCCTTGAAAGATTTCAACAATGAAAATTAGTAGCCGCAGTGTCTGACACATAGAAAGTGCTCAACAAATAGTTGTTTTTAAAAATTCTAAGCTTTAAATGTTTTTTGTAACCAGTTATTATTCTGATTTTATCTGAACTGACTTTATACCATGCAAAGAAATAAAACCCTATACTGTGAAAACAGTACTCAGGAAAAAATAGAGATTCAGCTCTCTCCCTTCTTCTGTTACCGATTACATTGTGGAATACAATTATGGAAATAAGCCAGGGGACCAGCCTCACTGACTTTTTTTTTTTTTTTTGTATTGGGAGCTGGATCCCTGTATTGTCTCTGAAATATAGTCAGTCTTTTTTTTACTCGCCTAAGCTGCTATATTTTGTGGACCATGCATTTTTTATTTTAAGAGAAATAAATGTTTTATTAAAAGGCATAATATATAAGGGAATAAATGTAAATTGTAATCATGTTCTACTTAAGTCTCATGATTTACTCTTTCCACAAGAAATCAAGATTTGTCTTCGGATAATCATTTGACAATGATTTATTCACCTGTTTTAAAATTATTTATTTATAGCTGTATTTCTTATTTCTTTTTTTCCTACAGTCTAAAACTATAACAGTAAAGAATTCAGATACAGCGAATGAAGTTATCAACATGTTATTTTCAATGCTAGGGATAACTGTAAGTTACTCTGCTAGATAATCTTAATTAAAAACAGACTTTGATACTTTAAATGTATGTAAATATTATCCCTTTCATAAGACAGCTGATTATTAGAGATACCAGTCATATCTGGTTCCCCAAAATGTAGAAGTTAAGGACAATAAACCTTTAATATCAGCTTAATATATGGGTGCTATTCTTCTACTCTTATTTTAAAACCTGTATGAACTGAAAAGCATAATGGGATTGGACTATAATTTTAGTATTCACACCACACTCTTCCATGTTTTGCTTTTAACTTCTGTCCCTTTCTGTTTTCTGTGACAGACGTTAGTTTTTGAAATTTTAGTAGTGGAGAATATTAGAATGTTTGAGGATGAGATAAAGGAAAGAGAACTGGAAGGTTCTTCTCATTGCTTCCCTACCAGTTATATAAACACTATACAATGAGTACTTTTATTAAAGGGAGTGAATTTCAAAAAGATGGAAACTAAGGGAAGCACTTTAAAAACATTATTCCTTGAATGAGATTCTCTATAAATATTAAAGTAAGTATACTGTTACTATTATGTGTCATGATACATATTTAAAACATGCCATAATATTATTCATTGTATTTACATTTGCTTATACACAGTACCATAGTAAGCCCTTAAGAACTCAGGGCAACCAAAATTTGGGATAAGAAAGCTGATTAATTAAATTTAGTAATACATTTAAAATGTAATTAAATTTATATGTACTGAATGAAGAAGGCATCTATGCATTGATTTCTAACCTGTATGAATATATTTTGGAAGAGAGTGGATAGTTTCAGGGCTAGGAAGGGAGATTAATGACATGATTCATTTTCGTATCTATGGTTTTCCTTTGGATAAAATGATCAATCTCAAACCAAAAAAAAATTCTATTAATTTGATTAGGAATTGAGGCTGTTTGGTTATACCTGTTCTAAGGGATTATTCCGATGTTTTCAGATACTACATAAAAATAAAAGATTTTTATTAGATTACTCTTCCTATTTATGACAAAAATTTTGGCTAGGGGATGGGGCAGGGAGGAAGTGACAAGCTGAGTGTTTGAGAGGGGGAAAAAGAGCTGGTTTGTATGGTGTCCTTCATAGCCAGTACCCTCCATTATAAGGACAGGGCCATGATTTCTAATCAAAAGTTAAAGGCAAGGATATGAAATATTGCCAGCAGATTTATCTGTTCAAGTTTCATTTAAAGCATTTTCGTTTTATCCCTCCTAGAGGATTTAGCAAAATCCATATAATTTAGTGTTATTTCTTTCAAGTGGGATTTATAGTGTTACTGGGTTATAATTCTGCTAGTGAACAATTTTATTGTTTTCTGTGACTGGGCCTATTCTCTAGATAGAATCTTATCCTTTCAGTCCCCAGGACTGGACTTACCCAAACTAAAGCCAGTGCAAACTGTGCCAACTACCTATGTCCTCAAAACCTCTTGGTCATTCTTCTCCTATTCAGAAGACCTAATAATCAGCCTTTGACATTTTATTTTTATTCATAGACACAGCAGTATTTGTGGCTTTCTGGATAACAAGGTTTCTTTGCAGGGGCATGTTGGAGGTTAAGTCCAATATTCTCTGACAAGTCCAGAGATACAGCAGAAGTCAGGACTCTAAAGAAGAGATTAGCCTTTTAGAACCAAGAAGTTTGTTCTTCTTTTGTAAAAGGGCCTAGCTATGATTTCACGTTCCATGGGCTGCCTATATAGTGAGGGCCTGATTCCATTGCAGTTCGTGGATCCCCAGCCATCACTGGAGGGAAAAAGGCAGGATTCCCGAGTCCTCTGTTGCGGAATGGGGAAAGGGAGATTTGTTGTAGCAATCAGCACTTCCATCCTCAATAACCATAACCACTCTCGTGAATCTGAATAGCATTTATTGTCTCCAGGTTTTTTCTTTTGCAAAGCATAAAAATTTCAAAAAATGTGTCCTCATTCAGGTACCAAATGTGAAAGATGTATTGCGACTTTTAATTCTTTTATCTCCAAGGGCTCTGAGAGAGATTACCAGTTATGGGTCAATTCTGGCAAGGAAGACGCACCATACCCACTCATTGGTAAGTTTTTGTGAAAATCGAAGATAGCATTGATTGTGTTTTTATTATAATTCTAAATGTCTCAGAGAATTGGTTGTATGGTCCGAAGCTTAACTACTGTTAAATAATCTCACATGATATTCATCTAATAAGTATATATTAAGCATTTACTATGTGCTGGGCAAATAATGTCTCCTCATTCAAGCAGTTAATGGTATAGTTAAGAGGAGAAATGTAAATTTTCCTCTCTGCTTTTTCACTTTATACTTATCTTGCCAAATTTTTTTAAATTTTTCTGTAAGAAAGCAATATATATTGATATTCCTTTTTCTCCATACATTTATTTTTCACATTCAGTTCTTGAATTTCCTGTCCCTTTTCCTAACTATATGCTGCCTCTATGGAAGACAATCTATAATCCCAGTCATGCATGTTAATCCACCATGAGTATGTAACACCTGCTTTATGCCCAGAACTTTCTTAGGTATCATAAAGAAAATGAGATTAACTCGTTTAATCCATCTGCTATTTCTCTAGCCTAATTTTCCAGCATGTGTTTTGAGGAATTAGTGGTAAATAGGTTACACCTCACTTTATTGAAATCATTTAGCTAATTTCTTGATCAGTGTTTTATTCAGTGTGGTTAACAGAAATAGAACAATTAAAATAAGGGACAGTATCTGTAGCAAATCTTGATATGACAATGATGATGATGACAATTTCTGTTAACAATTTTAAAATGCTTACCACCTGCCAGACATTGTACAGACCATATTATATGCATTGTCTCATGTAACCCTTTCATTTATCTATGAAGTCAATACTGTGTAATTTAGAGTGTTCCAAGTGATCTGAGTAATCTAAAACCAAACTTCTACAAAATGTATATTTTCAGACTTAGAATATAGAAAGTGATCATGCACAGAACTGAGAACAAAATTAACAGGATTTCAGGTTTTTAATGTTGTCATTTTTGTAAAAGTGAATGAGTAACAAAGTTGTCATTAAAAATTAAATATTTAAAATAATTGTTTTAATATAGTATATTAATTTAATTAAAACTAGGTAGATGGTAATTTTTTGGCTTAAAACAGCTCCAGGCTTCATATTACCTCTTATTAAAAAACAATAGGACATGATTGTTCCATGATTTTGCAGCAGTTATTAATTGTATATTTTAATTTTAATGTGCCTTGCAAACCTCAATTGTAGATTACCAGCTAGCTATTTTGATAAACTGATTTTTTTATTGCTGTTATAGAAGCCTTATTTTGCCCTAACCCCTGGAAGTTGTATTAATTCATATTAATGGAACATCGACATTGTAGGCCTATGCCAGGTGGGAAGGAAGAGTGAGAGTTCACTGAATTACATTCAGTGGTAAGTCACAAATAGAAGGGAACTTATTCTCTATAGTTAAAAAATCTATAGCACAATGGTATTTGAGGATTACACTAAGAGGATGCAATTATTTAGAGTACTAAAGAGCAAAATCGCATTGCAGTCAGGTGTCCAGGGGTTAGTTTTTCTAGTTTGTAAATTTCTTTTTGTATCTATTTTCTGTGTTTCTGATCCCCTGCTTCCTTCTGATTACTGCCTATGAACACGAACCTCAAAGGGCAGCAGTAGGAGGGAAGCATAAATCAAACTAGTCCCAATGCTCTTGAGTAACTCTAATTATATAACTAATAAAAAGTAATGAAATGTCTTTATCACACAGACATCATGTGGTAGATAGTGATGCTTGACATATTCCTGTTATTTAAATAATGTTAGCTACTAACATTTACTTATTTGGTCTGTATAATACTTATGTTATAGGTAGAGTAAATATTTTAAGTCATAGATTTGAGGCTGAATGCGGACAAAGATTTGAGGACAAAGATTTGCTGAAGATTTATAGATCTAGTGTATGTCAAAGGAGATACTAAAATACCTTTAAATATTGTCAGATGCAAACATACAAAGAGGCAACATTATGCAATTCACAAACTGATCTGTGCATTTATTCTAAACAAGATAGTCCTTAAAGGTTTTTCTTTTCTTATCCTCCCCACCCCCTCTTAAAACTGCTTTAAAGGACCACTTGCATTATGCAGGGGTCTCCAACTGTAAGAATGTACATAATCATTCAGTCAACAAAAGGATTCTTTATACCAAAAATCCCAGGAGTAAATTGCAGTATGTTCTGTTTGTAGCACACAAGGTCTCAGTACCAGTCAATCTGAAGTCTACATTTAGGTTTTTCTCTGTAGGCCATGAATATCCCTATGGAATTAAAATGAGCCATCTTCGAGACACTGCACTCTTGACACCAGGATCAAAGGACTCAACCACCCCTTTCAATTTCCAAGAGCCCTTCCTCATGGAAGAGCTGCCCCGAGAGATGCAGTGCCAGTTTATCCTGAAGCCCAGCCGCCTGGCTGCAGCCCAGCAACTGAGTGGTGAGTCTCTTCTCCTTCTTCATAGAGTCATCTTTCAGCAAAAGTTTTCATTTCTGAACACAAATTTAGCACAAAAGCAAAGACCCAGTCTTCTATCCAGATGAGTTTTATTTTTTTATTTTTTATTTTTTTGGAATTTGCTAAGTGTTTTGAAAGGAAAGATGGACTTTTAGAAAAAGTTTTATAAATCAGCAATAAGCATGACTGACTTATAACCGACAGCTAGTAGCAATATAGTCTGTCCCTTCTTTCTACACCATTCTGTCCCCTTTAACCTTATGCCTTCTGCAGAGTCAAAGGCACCAGGCAATTCTGCAGGTGCTTCAATACCTCCTTTGTACTGCAACACATGCCAACTGTGTGTTCCCCCCAAATGGTCAGATTATAAAAGGAGGCTGTCAGTGATGGGTGTCAGAAGACTGTGATGCCCTACCTGGATCTTGGTACTGAAAAGTATGTGAAGATTAAGATGATTTCTACAGAAGTCTCTCCTTAGCCTGCTAATCTGAATTTCCTATGAACATAGCTATCTCTTACTCACCCCATAATAAAGACTCTAGAATGCTAGAAAAATGTTCAACATAAGAGCATCACAATTTACGCTAACTTAAATTTAAGATTTAAGCTTTCAGTCTGAAAGTAAGATTGTGTAAGAAACAGAAAAATAGATACCAAAAAGTATGAGTGGGATAGCAGAAAATTGATGCTGAATTTCTGCAGCTGTCTTTGTCAGTTTGAACCAAGTGGGCTCTCCAGTGAACAATGGCATTACCTTTTGAAAATGAGCAAACTCATGGAGCCCAAGGAGTAATACGTTTAAAGGGATGGCACGGACCTTGAGAGATCACTGAGGCCGCCTTCCTGCCACATGACAGATTATTGGCATCAACTGAATGCCAGGTGAAATTCTGAAATTCTTCATCTCTGTGTTATCCAATTGATGAAACAATGAAAAAATGCTCACACTATTTTTAACCCCATTGTAAAATAACCCTACTTTAAGAAAACATTGTATAGCTAGGCAAACTTAGAGAAAACAGACAAATCAACACTCCTTGTAAAGGTTTTTTTATTTTATTTTATTTCAGACTATTACAGGGGTACAAACACTTTGGTTATATAAATTGCCTTTGCACCACCTGAAAATCATGCCCATCCCCCAGACAGTGTGCACCACGTCTGATAGGTGTGGATTTACCCATCCATCCCCTCCTCACCTCTCCCACCTGCCCAACACTGTGAATGTTACTTCCCATATGTGCATGTTAGTGTTAATCAGTTAGTACCAATTTAATGGTGAGTACATGTGGTGTTTGTTTTTTCATTCTTGTAATACTTCACTTAGAAAAATAGGCTCCAGCTCCATCCAGGATAATACAATAGGTAGTTCGTAATTTTTTATGGCTGAATAGTACTCCATGGTGTATATATACCACATTTTATTAATCCACTCATGTATTGATGGGCACTTGGGTTGTTTCCACATCTTTGCAATTGTGAATTGTGCTGCTATAAACATTCGAGTGCAGATGTCATTTTTATAGAATGTCTTTTTTTCCTTTGGGTAGATACCCAGTAGTGGGATTGCTGGATCAAATGGTAGTTCTACTTTTAGTTCTTTGAGGTGTCTGCATACTACTTTCGATAGAAGTGGTACTATTTTGCAGTCCCAGCAGCAGTGTATGAGTGTTCCTGTCTCTCTTCATCCACGCCAACATTTGTTGTTTTGGGATTTTTTGTTAAAAGCCATGCTCACTGGAGTTAAGTGATAGCTCATTGTGGTTTTGATTTGCATTTCCCTGATGATTAGAGATGTTGAGCATTTTTCATGTTTCTTATCCACTAGTTTATCTTCTTTTGGAAAGTTTCTGTTCGTGTCCTTTGCCCACTCTTTAATGGGGTCATTTGATTTTTTTTCTTGCTGATTTTCCTGAGTTCTATATAGATTCTAGTTATCAGCCCTTTATCAGATGTGTAGCATGCATACATTTTTTCCCCATTCTGTAAGTTGGCTGTTTGCTCTAGTGATAGTTTCTTTGACTGTACAGAGCTTTTTAATTTGAACAGGTCCCATTTATTTATTTTTGTAGTTGCGATTGCTTTTGGGGGGTCTTCATAAATTCTTTGCCTACGCCGATGTCTATAAGAGTTTTTCCAACATTTACGTCTAGAATTCTTATGGTTTCATGCAGATTCAATGCAATCCCTATTAAAATACCAACATCAGGAGGATGGTAAAATGGTGGATTAGCAGTGACCTCCTTGCTCTCTGTTCCCAGAGTAGGAGGTGAAGAACGCGGACAGCTACACGCAAGTAAATCGCTCTCCCATAGGATCAGCTTTGTGAATCTGCAGAGAAGCAGCGAGGGACAAGCTGCACTGCGGAAAAAAAGGTGAACCGGAGAATCGACCACAAAGTCCGGGGAGCGTGGGACGGCCGTGCCCGTCGGCCTGCTGGCCGGGGCAGGGTGATCTGACCCACAGGAGGATGACTCCTCCCTCACCGACCTCCACACCCTCGCAGGCAGGGACGTTCCTGATGTCAGTGCGAAGTGGTGGCACAGGCCGACAGGCTGTGGGGAGTAGAGACAGGAGCGGGAAACATTTTGAACTCTCTGGTGTGCGGTGCTAGGTCTGCTTTGCCAGGGAGCGGGGAGGGACTTCTCTGAGCGGTCACTTCCCTGTTCGGACACTTCCCGATTGTACAGGAGAAAGTTTGGAGACAGGCTTCACGCCTCAGGACTCCGCCAGGACCAGATAGGCGGAGGTGAACACCATAAAGGAGGCTCTGCCCTCGGAAACCACCACCGTAGCCGCCTCCAGCGCCGACTCTCAGGAGAGGGGCAGCCACCATTCTGGGAGTCCATAGCCTAAAATTACCAGGGCCCATTGCCCAGGCAACGGCCGGAGTCAGCACCCCTGCCTCTGCTTGGCAGAGCCGGCCCCACCCTCCGAGGAGGAGAGTAAGGAGAGAAGCCACTTTCTCTCCCAACCCTGCAGACAGTCTTCCCGGAGCCGGCGGCTCAAGCTCCACCTTTGAAAAATCGGAAAAGGTAGAGAGATTGCCATCTTAGCTGAGCTGCTTGGTGGTCTCCGCGACCGGTTCCACCCTGCCGCCGGCGGTACGCACCAAAAGGACGGAAAACAGGAGGAGGCTATTTGTTGAGCTGTGAACCGGAGCGACCACCCTCACTCCCAGGCGACTGGCTTCCTGCCCACAACGCTTCGGTGGCTCAAGCTCCGCCTTTGAAAAGTCAGAAAAGGGAGAGAGATCGCTTTCTTGGCTGAGCTGCAAGGCGGTCTCCGGCGGCCCATTCCACCCTGCCGCCGGCCCTTCGCGCCAAAAAGACGGAGAACAGAAGGAGGCTATTGTTGACCCGGAGCGACCACCCTCACTCCCAGGCGACTCGGCACCCCCCCCCCCAACGCCTCATGCCAAAGGGACTGACTCTGCCCCTGGATGGAGCTGTAAAAGGGGGTTGCCCCTTTTTTTTTTGTTTCTCTTTTTCTGTTATTCCTTTTTTCATTATTACTATTTTTTTATTTTTTTTCCTCTGAAACCCACGAGCACTGCTGCTACTTTGTTCCATCTCCGCAGCTGGGCTATTCTGCACCAAAGAGACAGCTGGCACCCCTAAGAGTGTGAAGTAACCAAAGAGGCTGCTTTTCAAGCTGTGACACGCGGTCACCTCTCTGGTAAGACTTGGTAGCTGGTGCTGCCTGACATATGGACAGACTCCACAATGGTTAGGGCCCAGCAGTAAAGGAGGCTGTTTTCCCAGCTGGGACCCACGGCTGCCTCGTTGTGAATTGATAGCCGGCTCCTTATGCCAAAAAAACTGTCTCCCACATTTGCAAGTGAGGAGGGGCAAGGGAAGCTGCTTTCTGGGCTGAGACCTGCAGAGGTTGCGGACAGCCCTTGACTGTGATCAGGCCACTGGTATTTCGTACCAAAGGGACTGACCCCACATCTGCTGGGGAGAAGTAGCAGGACAGGCTGCTTTCTGGTCTGGGTCCCTCAGTGGCTTTGGACAGGGCTTCTCCAGCAGACCTTGAAGTGTGCACTTCCTATCAACTAGACAAACCCCACCCTTGAAGGAGTGGAATAACGAGGGTAGCCACTTCCTGATCTGAGCGCTTGGTAGTCCCAGGAAGTACCTTTCCCCCAGTCTGGTGAGTTATCTGGCAGGGCAGGGCAAAACCCACCCTTGGAGGAGGGGAGAAACGAGAGTAGACACTGTCCAGGCTGGATTTTGTGACAGTCCTAGCCAACGCCCCTCCCACAGCCCTCCAGGACAGTCTCAGCCCTTGAAGGAAGGGAGAAAGAAAAAGAGTCGCTCTCCCCATAGGACTAGCTTGAACCTGTGTGACCTTGGATCTAAGCAAAAGGGGGCAGTTTGTTGGCTTGGTACAGCTGATTGGATTTGATCATCTGATAAGACCATAACACAATGGCTTGCTCTTGCTGCCCAGGCCGTTGTCATCTTAGGGGCTTGTGGTGTTGGAAGGAAACTCTTGACCAGAGTCCTTAGCAATTGCACCAATTGTCACATCCATCAGGAGCTGCTCCACAAGAGGGGCAAAAGAGCCCAGGATAACATATTAGCAGCTTTTTCCGAGCTGCTGATCAAGCAACCTCTGAAGTATACTCTTAGGCTTGCTGTTTCCTGTTGCTCTTCTCACTCCTTCTAAAGTAGTAATAGGGCTCAAGTAACCCTTGGGAGTGGCGAGACATCCCCCAAAGACTGAGGCACCTGTATGTTCCATTTGGGGATTTACAGCTCAATACGAAAGCATTGGAATACCTTGATAACCGACTCCTCCATGCAAAATACAAACAACAAAAAAGAGAGTAACTTCATAGCTCAACACAGTACCTTCCATCTCAAACAAGTGGTCGATAGCGGAGTCACAAACACAAAGTGATCCAACTCCTGGGTTTCTAAGCAAGGGAAACTAACTCACTAATCTCCGTAAGCAGAAGGTGAAGATAACAGGCC